TAAGCAGGTGAAAATTAAAATAAAGCTGCTGATCATTCAGACTGACAAATCAATTTGCATGCACTGTTATCAACTTTTAGCATAGCTTAGCAGTACATTCCCCCTAAATCATATAATCCCTCCACTATCGTGATGCATTCCCCCTAACTTTTATATCCCTTTTAACAATAAATCAAAATTCTACGTACCTAAGTTCGTAAGATAAAATTACAAACATGTACACAAATAAATTATAAAACATTAATTAAATTAAATCACGTAGAACACATAGGTAACAAATTTCATGCAATTTCATGCAAATCACGTACACACATTTTTCGAATTTAAAAGTTTCGAAATACTTAGCTCATTTCGATCATTCCCATTTCGTGCCTTAGAGTTGCAAAACGAGATTCACACAACGGTTTTGTGAGAATGTCGGCAATTTGATTTTCTGTGGGAACATGATCGATCTTCAAATCTTTCTTCTCGACCTGGTCTCGTATAAAGTGATGTCGAACGTCGATGTGTTTGGTTCGCGAGTGGAGCACTGGATTTTGGGTTATTACAATTGCGCTTGTATTATCACATAAAATACTAACATTTTCGCATTTAATCCCATAGTCCAACAATTGTTGCTTCATCCACAAAATTTGTGCACAACAACTCCCAGCTGCAATATATTCGGCCTCGGCAGTGCTCGTAGCTATGGAGTTTTGTTTCTTGCTGAACCAAGAGACCAATCTTCCCCCTAAGAACTGGTATGTCCCTGAGGTACTTTTTCGGTCTATTTTACACCCTGCAAAATCTGCATCTGAATAACCAGTTAGTGTAAAATCTCCTTCTTTGGGATACCATAATCACACATTGATTGTTCCCTTTAAATATCGAATTATCTTCTTTGTTGCAATCAGATGACTTTCTTTGGGCTTTAATTGGAATCTTGCACATACGCCAACCGAGTAGGATATGTCTGGTCTGCTTGCGGTTAAGTATAGTAACGATCCAATCATCCCTCGATACATCGTTTGATCAACGTCTTTGCCTTCATCATCTTTGTCTAATTTTTGAGAAGTACTCATGGGAATTTTGACTGAGGATTTTCCATCTATGCCAAATTTCTTGATAAGATCTCTTGTGTACTTGGCTTGATTTATGAAAATTCCTTCTTCAAGTTGCTTGACTTGCAGTCCCAAAAAGTAATTTAATTCTCCCATCATACTCATCTCGAACCTGTTCTGCATGAGCTTAGAAAATTTCTCACATAAAGATTTATCAGAACTTCCAAAGATAATGTCGTCAACATAAATTTGTACTAATAAAATGTGATTATTTTCTTGAATTCTAAAGAGGGTTTTATCGACTAGACCTTTGGTGAATCCATAACTAATTAAGAACATTGACAAGGTGTCGTACCTCGCGGAGCTTGTTTTAACCCATACAATGCCTTCTTTAATTTGTAGACTTGATCACCAACGTCTTTTACCTCAAAACCGGGTGGTTGTTTGACGTAAACTTCTTCAAGTAAGCCATTAAGAAATGCGCTCTTTACGTCCATTTGATATACGATGAAATTCTTGTGCGCTGCGTATGCTAGGAATATCCGGATTGCTTCGAGTCGTGCGACAGGGGCAAATGTCTCATCAAAATCTATGCCTTCTTCTTGTGAATATCCCTTCGCAACTAATCTTGCTTTATTCCTAAAAATGACGCCATCTTCGTTTGCTTTGTTCCTAAAGACCCATTTGGTGCCAATTACATTTTGGTCCGTTAGTCTTGGAACAAGTTTCCATACGTCGTTGCGCTTGAATTGATCTAATTCCTCTTGCATGGCATCTATCCAACTTGGATCGGCTAATGCTTCGTCAATTTCTTTTGGCTCCAGTTGTGATAGAAAGCATGAGAACATTGCATCTTGTTGTTGGTTCCTAGTAGATGATCGCGTTTACTCCATCACTTGGATTTCCAATGACTAAGTCATGTGTGTGACTTCTTAGCCATTTTCGATTTGGTTGGAAACTTGTTGGATTCTCAGAGTTTCCTTCTTGTTGGAATACTTGTTGTTATTCCACTTGTTGTGAATTGTTGACGGGTGCATCTTCGGGTTCATCTACTGGGATTTCTTCCATTTCGGGTTCAACATCGGGTGCGGTCACGGTTGGTACTTCACGTGCCACAGTGGGTATTGACTCAAATTGATGGGTACCCATGTTATTAGTTTCTTCGAAATCCTGCACCATATTTTCCTCAAAAATATTGTTAGAATAATTTAATTTAGAATTACTTCCCTTATCTTTGATTTCTTTGTTGTTGCTTTCGTCGAACAAAACATGAATTGATTCTTTTACCACCATTGTTGACTTGTTGAATATTCTGTATGCCTTGCTGGTGGATGAATATCCCAAGAATATTCCTTCGTTCGCACGTTCGTCAAAAGTCTTTAAATAGGACTTTCCATTAACAAGTACAAAACATTTACACCCAAATGTATGAAAATACGTGAGGTTGGGTTTCCTCCCTTTCCATAATTCATATGGTGTTTTGTTATATGACTTGTGGATTAGACTGTGATTCTGAGTCTAGCACGCCGTATTGATAGCTTCTGCCCAAAATCTCTTTGGTAGTTCGGCGGCTGATATCATGACACGTCCAGCTTCTTTGAGTGTCCTGTTTCTTCTTTCAGCTACTCCATTTTGTTGTGGCGTTCGTGCGGCAGATAGTTGATGTAGAATCCCTTGTGAATTGCAATAGGATTGAATCACGCCATTCACAAATTCGGTTCCTCGATCGGTTCGAATTGTTGCAATCTTCATATCTTTTTCGACTTGTAGTTGCTTTAGCAGCTCCGGCAACTTTGATTCAACTTCACTCTTTTTCTTTATGAATATTGTCCATGTGTACCTAGAAAAATCATCAACAACAACCAAAGTATATTTCTTACTACTTATACTTACTGGGTCTACTGGACCAAATAAATCCATGTGCAGTAGACTTAAGGGTCTTGATGTTGACTCTTGAGCTTTGGCTTTGAATGATTCTTTGATTTGTTTTCCTTTCTGGCATGCGTCACATACTTGATCTTTCTTGAACACAATATTGGGTAGTCCTTCGACTAACTTCTTTTTGGCAAGCTTGTTGATGGCTTTGAAATTCAAATGATTTAGCCTTCTGTGTCATTCCCAACTAGCTTCATTCGAATTATTTGCCATCAAGCATACAGAATCTTTTGTTGTACTCCAATCTACAACATACATGTTTTTCTTTCTTGATCCGGCGAGTACGACTTCTTTCGTGGATTCGTCTTTGACTTGACATTTGCCTTTGTAGAATTCTACGAGATAACCTTTGTCGCAAAATTGACTTGTACTAAACAAGTTAAATTTTAATCCTTCGACATAAGATACGTCATCAATTCGTAGACCATTTTTCACAATTGCGCCGGTTCTTTTTGTCATTCCATATCGATCGTTTCCACTGAAAAGTACTTTTGGTCCTTCGATACTTTTGAATTCAACTAGACTAGCTTTATTGCCGGTCATGTGTCGAGAGCATCTGCTATCGAAATACCAAACTTCCTGCAAAAAAGATTAATTTCTTTTAGGTACCCATACTTGTTTGGGTCCTTTTGTGTTAGTAATTTTTGGCATCCAAATCCACCTAGATCCCACTGATCCAAGAGTAGGTGATTTGTAACCATTAAAAACTTTATAATCATAACGCACTTTCGAATAATGATTCAGTGCGGGTTGGGAAGCTGATAGTTACTTGATTCTATGAAATAGAGCAAATCTGGACTTGGTCCATGGTTTGATTTCAAGCGACCAATCTTCTTCTGAGGGATATAATCTCCCAGCCCCAATTCTCGGAATTCTTCCCATATTCCTATGAGGTTTTATTGCACTAGACTCGTTGGTTCTCCTTTGAGATACAAATTTTTGCCTTTTAAAATTTTGTTGTCTTGCCAAGATATCACTGTGTTGATTCGGCCTTGCAACAATTTTCTGGGCATTAATTTTGTTTCCAACTCCTTGTCTCATTGTGCTGTGTTGACTTTTTACAAATTTTACCACTGGAACTTTATTAATTAAAGTAGTAGTAGAATTAGTCAACTTTCACTAGTACAGAAATGGTCATCCGCTACCCTTGTAAATGGTCATCCGCTACCCTTGTACAAGGGTAGCGGATGTGAGGGACACTGAAAGTCGTGAGCTTTCCGCTACCCTTGTATAGAAGGGTAGCGAATATTATTATATTTTTAAAGCATCCGCTACCCTTCTTACAAAAGAAGGGTAGCGGATTTTTTTTTTCTTTTTTTTAAAAAAACATTTTTTTAAATCCCCAATTTTTTAAAAATCCTATACGAAATTCATACAGTACATATCAACACAATATTATCAACAAACTATCAAAACACTATTATCAATAAACTATCAAAACACAATATTATCAACTAACTATCAAAACACTATTATCAATAAACTATCAAAACACAATATTATCAACACATTATATATTAACACATTATTATCAACATACAACACATTACATATTAACACAATATTATCAACACACAACACACTACATATTAACACAATATTATCGACACACTATATCAAATACTAAAGTAAAAGTAAAGGAGCAAGATCACTTATTCCTAATGTAATAATTTTTTATTCAAAGTGATGAGCATGCAACCAAAACTAAAACTTACATAATAAATTTGCATATGATAATAGATACTTTATACTTTTAAGTACATATGCATGTATAAAAAGAAGGAATAAAGCACATGATCTTTAAATATGATTAGCATGCTACATTCATCACATAGATCGATCATAAATAAATACAGTGTATAGTGTACTTTTTTTTTTGAATACTAGTGTACTTAAAAGCTCGTAATGAAACGTTGACAAACCTCTCCACTGCCGTCTTCCTCATCATCATTCACTTCATACTTCCATCAAGAATCTCAGTATGCGTGAATTGTTTTAAAGCTCCTTCCAGGCTTGCAATATCTCCATCAATTCAACTATAAGGTCCATTATTCTTTCATGCCTCTCAGATTTGCCTCCACAGCTCATGCACTCAATCTACAAATTATATCATTAATTTATCAGGAAGGAATTTCTATGGAGATCATATAAATCAAAATTTTTACAAGCTCCTAGAAGACCACAGATTACCTTTGAACGAAGGAAGCCCCCAAATGTAAGCCCAATGAGACTTGTCTGCTCTTCCAAAGAGCATGATGTACGGACACCTGCTTCCTTTAAGCAAACAGATTGCATGGTCTCAATGACATACCTACAATTTCAATATGAGTCAACTATGAAAGAGCATTTGGAGGAGTAAAGTGAACGAATCTCAAAGGCTGTACAAGTAAGCTCACCTGAGAAATTCATGAGCATCTTCTTCTCTCCCATTACCAAGACTGCTCCCAATATTCTCCAAATGGGAAATTATCCGGATAGGGGAGAGCAGAGAATTCCCATTCTTTGCTTTTAGAACTAAACTCTCAAATTCAGAGTTGAAACACCAATCTTTCTTTGCACCTAACAAGAATATGAAAACAAGACAGGATCACTTTCTTTTAATGAGAGAATAAGATTCAAAAATCAATTGCATAAAATTGTTATTGAGAAACATACATCCTTTTGAATGGAAGCCTTGAAGGAAGTAAGCCGTGAAGGGTGGAGTAAACGCTAGGCACTGAAGGACAGCATTAGCATAACAACTGCAGGATATTAAATAAAGTCATGCATTTGTAAAACCCAAAAAAGTCAACACTTAAAAGCTTTCTCTATTAGAGTGAAGTTCGGATTATTAAAAATACAGAAACATGGGTAACAACCAGTAGCAGCTCACTGGTATTAAATTGGAAATATGACAATTTTTGTCAGTATATGTCCAATCATGCATTATTGGACAAAGTTACAATAAATACAAGCGATGAGCTAGAACAATCAAAAGAAAGATGCAATATTGCTAAGGAATGATAAATAAATATTAAACATCAACTGTCTAATAGCTTAAAATTAGAGCTAAGGTGAAACACACAAGCCAAAAAGAAACAATGTTGGATGGAAATTCAAAAAAGAAATTTATGCTCTATGGGATCTCATAAATTATACAGAGTATCTCTGGTTAGCTAGTCTAGAATGTAATGAATATGTTAAATGGATAGTCAAAATAAAGCATGATGAGCAAACGATCTATCTTAGCTCTACATACCTGTTCCCGCAATTTGTGAGGCCAAATGGACGTAATTCAACCTTTTTTGAGTTAAAAAGCTTCACAAACAACTCATATGGAAATAAACCCTGTCAAGAATGAAGTAATTAATAAAATGCTTGACACACTAGACCATATCCATACAAATTGAAAATACAGAGCAAAGCATGAAGTTGAACCTTATTATTGTATCTTCCTCATCACCTCCCTCCTATTTGTCAATCACAAGAAAGACTCAAACTTCAAACATAAAACATACTAAAGAAACAAGACAACCAAGATAACTATACGAATTGAATAATATATGAAAACTTATTAACCTTTTCATCTTGAGAAATTAGAGAAAGAAGTGAATCCATAAAAGTTGTCACAATGAAGACTCCAATACATCTTCTAGTGCTACAGATTATGAGTCGAGGTAAATTACGGATAGAACACGCAAGTTGGTTCTCAACCGCAAGTGATATCAAAGATGGAGCAATAGAATAGCCAACATACATTATGCAGGAACATCATGTGGAATTTTACCAAGGTCTAAGGGAAAAGATTTGGGAATGTCACACATAATGGTACTTTATGCACCTTAGTAGAACATACATAACAAATGGTCTAACTAAAAAAAAACAACATAACAAATGTTCAGTTACATAGTTACATACTGATCATCAATTTGTTGCTTTACAATGGCCTCAAACTCTAATTTTGCTATAAACTAATTAAATAGAAAAAGTAGAGAAAGAATGTAAAACAACCTGCTAAACAAAACGTTATTCCAAGAAACAAACATAAATAGATCAACATGCCAAAGAACAAATACGATGGCCACAACATACTATAGGAAAATATTTACCTTCAGTCTGTGGGTCAGCAACAAATCGCTCTAAGCAATCAACAAAATTTGTACCATTGAAAGGGTCCCCACCAATCCCCACACAGGTTGATTGCCCTAGGCCAACAGCAGTTGTTTGGAAAACCTAATGGCTAATACATAAGAGATGGAATCATTACAAAAATGTATGGCAAAGTTCCATTTTTTTTTTTCAATATTCATGCCACATCACAATTTAATGATTTATGAGTTAGAGACCATGAGTGTGGTGGTTAAGTGGATGGCAAAGGGCCTGAGGGCCATTCTTGCTGGCTAGGTAGAAGCTCTGGCAGTGGTTAACCTATTAAGATAAATATAAGTTTAGAACCACATAGACTTTTTCCCCCTTTTTGCCAGAGGGATGATGTGCCAAATATATATATATAATGAATACAATGTAATAAATGACTGTACTAGTGCACTATACATACTGTTCTTCCATGCTTATATTTGGATTGTGACATTTTCATATACGGAGTAATTGATTTTACAGATATTGTAATCCGGACTATTCCCACTGTTTATAGAGAAATTTCAGACCAAAGTAAGGTTTAAAAGAAGAAGAAACACCGTATGGAAAAAATTTCTTCAGAAGCATGTTTCTTTGTGTTTTAGAGTTTATTCTTTAGAAATAAATAGTAGTTGGATCTTGAGAGGTGAGACCTAAAAATAAAGTAAGGTTCCAGAGGCATACCCAATTATCAGAAGGATGAGAGAAGAAACACAGAAAACCAATTGATACCTGATATGCAGCAGCGGCGGCGACTGATAACTGTGGCGGTGGAGACGGCGGATGAGAGCGTTGCGGCGGTGAGTCGATGAACAGGTGGAACTCGTGGCACGTCGATCGGCTGAGGAGAACTGTCGCGGTGACTGAGGGAGTCGCTGGTGAGGCGTCGGCGCCGGCGTGTACTGAGGGAGGGAGGTGAGGCGACGACGGCGGCGTGTGTTGAGGGAGGGAGGTGAGGCGACGACGACGGCGTGTGTTGAGGGAGGGAGGTGAGGACAAAGAAATGTTGAGGATTGTGAGCCCTTGCTACGAGAATTATTTTTTCTTTTTTGATTTTTTTTTTAGATATTGTTTCCGCTGCCCTTGCTACGAGAAAGGGCAGCGGGAAACTCTTTTCGTCTTTTTTCCGCTACCTTATTTTAGAAAGGGTAGCAGTTTCTTATTCATTTATTTACAATAATGCCACCGCCCTATTTTTTTTAAATAATACACTACCCTTGTTTAAAGAAGGGTAGCTTAAACTCTAATTTCTTTGCTCCATTTTGTACTAGTGTTTTGAGGGGTTTTAGAACATGATGGATCGTAGCCTAGTCCGGCTTTATCTCCAGCGGGTTTTTGCATGCTTACCATTTTATCCATTATTTTGGATGAATGCGTAAATGATGCGATTACTTCCCGAAGGTTATGTTCTCTAACCTCTCTAGCTTTGCACTCTTCTTGAAGTCGAATATTTTCGGTTTTCAAGTTACTCATTTCATTTAGAGCATTTTGCAATTTTTGTGTCATTTCTTCCTTTTCAAGGATTAACGTATTATTGCGCTCTTTGATTTGAGTATTAGTGGCCATGACCTTTTGACAATCTTCCATAAGACTTTGAAAAGATTTTTGAGTCTCGAAAGAAGTGTCAACGGAACTAAAGGAACTAGAAGATACCTCTTCATCGATTTCGCGCGCCATTAGACATTCCTCATGTTCGGGTGTCTTTCCGACTAAACATAAAAGTGCCGTATCTTCTTGTGATGAATCACTCTCGTCACTGGATGATTCTTCGGATTCGCTTGCTTCTGGCGGATCGCTTATTAGTGCCTTCCGTTTGTCCTTTTTGAATTTCTTTTCTTTCGACTTGTACTCAACCTGTGGAGAGTTAGAAGTATTCGAATTTTTGTTCACTTTGGGATGTGGACATTCGGCCATAAAGTGTCCAGGCTTTCTACAATTGTAACACACACTTGTGTTTTCTTCCGTAGATTCTCTTCTTGATCTTCTATTCTCCCGAAAAGAATTTCCTTGTGGTGATCCTTTGTTCTTTCGCATGAACTTCCTGAATTTTCTAAGAAATAGAGAAAAGTGTTCGTCAGATAAAAAATCATTATTTACGACTGACCTTGATGAGGAAGGTTGTTCGGCCATCAGTGCGGATGTTCGTTCATCACGTTCTTCTTCATTTCGTGTCTTCATCTCGAACTCATACGCCTTTAGATCACTAAAGAGTTTATCCGTAGATAATGTCCTTAGATCTCTATGATCGCGCATTGCGGTCACCTTCATATCGCAATTTCTAGGTAGTCCATGTAACACTTTGAGCGATATTTATTTCTGGGTAATGGTTTTTCCCTGATCCGTGATTTCTCCAAGTATTTTGATCAATCGAGCTTCCATGTCGGTGATGCTTTCGTTCGGTAGCATTTTGAAATCTTCGAACCTCTTCATGGCAATGGTTAGTTTGTTGTCTTTTTCTTGCTCATCGCCTTCACCGATACCGATAAGTGTATCCCATATTTCTTTTGCTGTGGTGCACTTTCGAATTTTTGGAAAGATGGTGTCATCGACTGCTTTGAACAAAATGTCCTTGGCAATATTGTCCAAGTTATTTCGCCCCCTATCTTCGCTTGTCCACGCCATTTTTGGCTTTGTAATATATCGTGGAGCATTTGGATCTCGTGGGGTAGCGGTATTAGCTTCCATAATTTGGATAGTACCATTTGTGATAACTTCCCACATTTCGTCATTTAAAGGAGATAAGTGCACCTGCATTCGAATTTTCCAATCATCAAATTTGTTAAGTGAGAAAAGAAAATTTTGAGCGAGAACCATATCTCTCTTCATCTTGAAGATTTTGAGATCTGTCTAGCAGTCAAAATTCACTCAAATAGACAACCGCTCTGATACCACTTGTTGGTCTCGAAAGGGTGGCGAGAAGTCTAGAGGGGGGGGTGAATAGACTTCTCTAACTTTTTCAACTTCTTTTGCAAACAACACTTTGGTAACTTCAACTCTAAGTAACAAGCATAAAAAAGTATAACAACTTAGAGTGTGCACAGCGGAAAATGTAACGGCAAAGTGTTATGCTTTAATTGTGTAGTGCTCAAAGAGAGATTCTATACATGCATCACGTTAGAAACACTTAATATAGATGTAGGATGATGTATATAAAATTTTACTTGCATGCAAACGAGGGAACTATCAAACCCAGACAGATAAAAATACGCAATAAACCGTAACGGGTTAGTTCACAGATAATATAAGCATGCACGAAATATTTATGAGCAGTAAGTAAATAGAGAGAGAGATTTATAGTGGTTCAGAGGTGGTGTAATCCTCCTAGTCCACTCTTCTCCTTTCACTTCAAGGAGGAAATTCACTATTCTTCAATCACCCAGATACAATAGTGAATAAGTGGCCAACGGCACTTCTCCGAGTGCTTCGCACAAAGCTACACTCCACCAAGGTTTTTCGCAAGCTCCTCTTGTTACTCCGCCTTCCCGAGTACTTCGCGCCAAGCTGTACTCCTACACCACGAGAACTACGCACAAAGCTACGCTCTCATCGGGTTTTCACAAGCTCCTCTTGTTACTCTACCCTTTACAACCGAGTGCTACGCACAAAGCTACACTCCAACTGGGTTTTTCACTCTCTCCAGTTACTCTACCCCTTTTCTACACTCAGTAGAAGATTTACAATGAAATAATTTTTCTCTCACTCAGACTTGAATTTAATCGTGTATAGCTCAATATATTGCTTCTTGGCTGATTTGAATATTGCTTGCTTTTCACTTTGTTTTTGAGCCGTATTCAAGTTGTTCCTGTCTTCAAGTCTGCTTGGGCAATTTATAGCCAAAGAAAGCTATTTGCCCGTTGATCAACTTTCGATCTTGATCGTCAAATTTGAATTGTAGTTGATCAAATAATTATGCCAACTTGGTCTGCAAAAATCATTTCGCCGTCTGTCAGAAGATTTTGAGAAATCTTGCCGTTGTTCTCCTTTAACTGACAAAGCTTTTCTTTGGAATGGGTAGCCTCCAAATTTGAATTTCTCTGGCATGACTTTTGTTGAATTATTGATCTGATGTGCCAAGTTGATCAAATAATTTATCTGCTGATTCTTGCTTGAGTATTTAAAAGATTTCCTTTGTATATCAGCCTTCGACTTCTTCTGCAGAAACAGAGCTTCAAAAGAATGATGATGTCATAGCTCATTTTGATGATGTTATGTCCCAATAGTGTATCATGGACTATATATATCATGTTCCATTTCATATCATGAGCTAGCTATCATGTTCCACTTTGTATCATGGACCTGATATCATGTTCCATTTTATATCATGGACCAGATATCACATTCCGTTGTATATCATGGACCAATATCATGGTTTCATAAAAGTACTTTAGGTGGGAATCAACCTATGGACCATTTGCTTTAATTAGCAAGGTTTCTTCC